CAGCTTGGATTCATTCTTTTCATGACATTCAGGTACACCTATCAAACATAAATTAGGTCTTTTCACATAGTCCCATATTTCTTGGAGACTTAGCTCATTCCTTTTTACTCTTTCTTCTCTAATCTTGTCTTCTCATTTTATTTCATTAAGTTGGTCTTCGGCTCTGATATCCTTTCTTCTGCTTGATCAATTCAACTGTTAAAACCTGTGCATACTTCTCAGAGTTCTCATATTGTATTCTTCAGTTCCATTAATTCACTTATATTCCTATCTAAATTGTCTATTCTCATTAGGATTTTGTCAAATCTTTTTTCAAGGTTCTTAGTTTCTTTACATTGGGCTAGAACATGTTCTTTTAACTCACAGAAGTTTCTTATCCACTTTCTGAAGCCTAATTCTGTGAATGGAATGCACTCGTTCTCCATCAGGCCTTGTTCCCTTGTTGATGAGGAACTGTGATCCCCTGTAGAGGGAGAGGCATTCTGATTTTGGGTATTCTCAGCCTTTTTAACGCTGGTTTCTTCCCGTCATTGTAAATTTATCCACCTCTCATCTTTGTAATTACCGACTTTCAAATTAGGTCTCTGAGTGGACGTCCAACTTTTGATTACCAGCGCCGGAATCAGAGCAACCCACTGCGCTGGCTAAAACAGCGGCATTAAGATTCATGGTGCTTTTCCACCCAGGAATCTCCAGTCTGGCTTCCTTCTTGAGTCCCTTTTTCAATCAGCTGAATAGGCAACTCTGCCTTCATAGAGCTCCAAACGTCGACCAAAAGGGGACCGAGTCCCATTTACTCTGCACCAAGAACCGCCACGCCGGCCACAAGAGTCGCACTGGTGACCCGTGGGGCTCCTCCACTGGGAATCTCCTGGTCCGTGAGCAACAAAAATTCATCTGAAAGTGTGGCGTCCTCTCATTCTTTGCGCTTTCACTGGGAGCTACAATCCTGAGCTGCTAGTAATCAGCCATCTTGGATCTCTCCCATCCATCACTCTTTCTAGCCATCAGTCACCTGCATCACCGGAGTGACTCTGTGACCACTCTGTCCCTGCCCGGCTCAGACTTCCCTACACAGATCTGGATGATCCTCTAAGCCCAGGAGGATCCTCTAAGCTCCTCCACTCAAGATCTTCCAAGGGCTCCCCATCAGGATCATTTTCCCAGGGCAGCCAGAGCAAATGACCACAAACTGGGTGGCTTGAAAAGTCTCCTCTCACAGTCCTGAAGGCCAGAAGTCTGAAATCAAGGTGTCAGCAGGACCCCGCTCCCACAGAGGCTCCTTCTTTGCCTCTTCCTGTTCCTGGCATTCCCCCACTGGTGTCAGCACCACTCCCATCCCTGCCTCGGCCTTCACATGGCCTTCTCTTCTCCACTGTGTGTCTCTTACCGAAACACTTGTGATTGGATTTAATGCCCACCTGGATAACACAGGATGATCTCATCTTGAGATCCTTAATTTAATTACATCTGTAGATGATTCCTTTTCAAAATAAGGTCACATTCCCACATTCCGGGGGTTAGGATGTGAACATGACATTTTGGGGGAAACAATTCAACCCATGATACCATCTCTCTAAGGAAAATCCCAGGTCATTACTCTGTGCTTCAAGGCCCTTCAGGATCTGGCCTCACCCCTTACCTCCAACCTCCCGCTGTCCACCCCATCACCCCGATCTCCAGCCCCATCCCCCTGATCTCCAGCCCCATCCCTTCTGTCCCCCTAGCACACCATGCTGTTCCTGCTTAGGGGCCTTGGCAGGTGCTGGCCTTTCCCACAAGATCCACATGCATCCACCATCGTCAGGTTTAGCTGATCATTTGTTATGGCCAGGCCCTCCCTGGCCACGTTGCATAAACTTGCAACCCTCCTGGAACACTCCCTCTTCCTCACCTGCCTTCTCTCTTCCCTACCACTCATCACCATCACACGCGCCTGCTTCTCCTTTATGTCGCTCATTGTCTCCCCTCCCCTAGGCCGCAGGCATGCTTTGTCAGTTGTGTTCACTACTGTGTCCCAGCGGCTAGAACAATACTTGACACTAGTCAGCCTTGGCTGAATGAATGAATGAATGAATGAGCAGGAGTTTGCCAGGCTGAGTGCTGAGCTACCAGAAGCCTTTGCAGACACCCCCAGATCATGTGGCCCCACCTGAAGCTCCTGGTGCACCTCGATTCTCACAAGGCCCCCACACTTTAGCCTCAGGTGATCGTTTTTCAAGCCTGACATGTTGGCTCAGCAAACACTCCCTGTGCCCACATCATGAGTCACCCGAGGCCCTTGACCCTTCCTCCCACATCCTTCCCCCATTTCACCTGCTCTCACCCTGTGTGCACAGGGAACTGTATATGAAGGTCAGGCCTGCCCTGCTGCCCCTGCTGGTCTCTGGGGCTGCCACAGGGATGGAAGACTGGGTCCTTCTGATGCACCCAAGACTGGGATATGGACCCGCAGGGCAGGCATCGAAGGAATGTACAAGGGCTGCCCCAGGGCCTGCAACACTAACTGTGAGGGGTCCCCCAAAACATTCCTGATGGAAACCACCAGAGCCTCCATTTCAGAAGAGGAACTCTGGTTTCTTGCCATATCTCTGCTGCTGACAGGCTCTGGCTCTGTGACTTGCAGAAGGTCCCTTCTGCTGCTGCTCCCCAATTTCGTCATCTCTAAATCTGGGCATCGATCCCATCGGCCATGGCTACAGTAGGTTGCATCTTACACAATTCCAACTCGGATGGCTCTGGCTGTGGCACTGGGTTGAGAAGGATTCTGAGTTTCAACCCAGGTTCAACAGGAAAGAAGGGCAGTGATCCATTAGTGATGGGTGCAGGGGAGAGCGAGGGCCCAGGTGTGCTAAGGCTGGGGTGGGTGCTTTGTGAGTGGGCTTTGGACACCACATCCACGTGAGTCTATGGACGCCTGATGCTAGAGAGAAGATCCTAGGGAAGGTGAATGGGTCTGACATGAGTGGCTGGTGGCATCACAAAGCCGGTCTGAGTTTACTTTGGTGCGTCTGAAGCAGCTGGTATGGCCTGCCTGCTGGGAAGGCTTCAATGACCCAGTGGAGAGATGGCTCCTTCCCTCAGCTGGGGTTCAAGTCACAGGGCAGTTAGGAGAGAGCCTTGCTCTATGTTTTGTCTCTCAGGTGGCCTTCGCGCTTGGTGGCAGAGGCTGACCTCTGGCTCAGGATTTACAGCAACAAGGCTGGGCTCTGGCTGAATCTTGCCAAGTGCCCTCTGAGACTCTCAGGAAGTGAGGTCCCGTCTCAGTCCTGTCCAGCTGCTACAACACAATACCATGGATGGGGCGGCTTAGAAATGGCAGGCATGTACTTCTCACAGTTCTGGAAGCTGAAAGTCCCAGATCAAGGTGTCAGCAGCTTCGGTGTCTGGGAGGGCAGCTCTCTGGTTCCTAGATAGGGCTGTCTTGCTGTATCTTCATGTGATATAAGGGGCAAGGGAGTTTTCTCAGGCCTCTTTGATAAGGGCATTAATTCCAATCAGGAGGGCTCTGCCCCATGCCCTAAGCTCTTCCAAAGGCCCCACCTCCCATACCCTCACCTCACTAGTAAGGATTTCAACATACGTGTTGTTGGGGGTACAGAAACACTCAGACTGTAGCATCTTCTCAGGACAGACATGGAGCCCGGCACACCACTTCCCTGAACAGGGGAGACATGCTTGTAGCCCACACAGCTGGATCAGGGAGTGGAAGCTTTGGCAGCCTTGGGAGAAATCACCCTAATGTGATATGGGCCTCAGTTTCCCAGCTGTAGGTGGAGATCACAGCAGCTATCTCCTTTTCAGGCTGGACAGATGGCTGTGTTCTGCAGAAACACCATGGCGCTGGGACAGAGCTATGTCTACCCACTGGAAGGGGCATTTTTTTTTTTTCTAATTTGCACAAACGTGCCCTGGGGACTACTAGCAGCCCTGGGGTTCCAGGTCATGCATAGAAAACTCCTCGCCAGGTACTCAGCAGGAGCAGAACACCATCCTCACAGTGGCTCCTGCTCTAACAGAGGCACTGAGGCACAGAAAGAGGGAGACATTCCCCTGAGGCAGCAGGAGGGCTTCCTGGAGGAGGGAGGGTTTTGCTGGGCCTTACCGGTCCTGGAGCAACCAATGATTCTGGCCACAACCTACGCATGCCTGCCTGCCTGCCTGGCTCACCGCCTCCAACTCCACAAAGGGACTGCAGCCTGCTCTGTGCTGCGGCCCTTCCTCAACATGGCTGGTTTCTTCCCTAGGTCTATATTTGGTTCCTGCTGACTCTTCTGTGACATAATGCAAACGAGACTATAGACAACCAGCTTCAAAGCCAAGAGTGCCACTAGCTGGACTTGTCTCCACAGTCCCCTGCTGGGCAGGAAAGTGGGCAGAGGTGGTGGTCATGTCACCTCTAAGTGGCCAAAAAAGGTCACGGTCAGGAGGCAGAGCCTGAGGCTAACCAACAGGAGCTTCCCACATGGCTGATGACAGTTTCTCAGGTTCTTTCTTAATCACTCGGACCTTAGTTCAAAGCTGTCCCTGTGTGGGGCCTGGAATTTAAAGCAGAGTGGTCCAGGGCTTGCCTCCTGCCCTGAGGCCTTTCCACCAAACCTAGGGCTCCTTAGGACACAGTAGCTTGAAAAGTGCTGACCCACAGGATGTGACTCAAACTGCTAAAGCTCTCACAAGTCTCCCCTCCTTCCCCCTGACTCGGCTCCCATCTCACCTCTGGCCATACCAGACCCCTCCGGCTCCTGCCTTGGCCCTTTTGTATTTTGGTAGTAGCTGCTTCATCAAAACTCTAGCTACCTTTCAAGACCCTAGCCGCCTCCTCCAGGAAGCTTATTGCTACCATCTGGATATTCGTGTTCCTCCAAGATTCTATTCACCTGCTCAAACCCAAACCCCAAGGCTCTGGTATCAGGAGGTGAGGCCTTAGAGCAGGGATTAAGTCATGAGGGTAAAGCTGCCATGAATAGGATTAGTGACCTTATAAAAGAGGCTCCAGGGAGCCACCTTGCCACTTTCACCAAGTGAGCACATGTGAGAAGACAGCAGTCTGTGAACCAGGCAGCAGGTCCTCGCTGGACACCAAATCAACTGATGCCTTGACCTTGGTCTTCTCAGCCTCCAGAACTGTGAGCTATCTATTTCTGTTGTTTGTAAGTCACCCAGTCTAGAGCAGTTTTTATAGCAGCCCGAAAGGACTAAGACAATACTTTGACCTCTTCCCCCCACCCACATTCATGGGCAGAGTGTTCCCTTCTTCCCCGTCTGTCTTCTGCCCTCCTCCTCGTCAGACAGCCTTCCTCCTGCTGTGTGGGAAGCACCCATTTCCCTGTCTGCCCCACTCAGCTCTTTCAGGGCCTGGTGTTTTTCCCCCTCTGCGTTTCCTGGGCTGCACCCCTATAGGTGCCCCATCAGAACCGCTCATTGCAGACGGGAGGCAGCCAGCAGGTGCCACGGCTCCCTGGACTCTGTGGGATTTGGGCAACTTGAATTTGTTTAGGATCCAGCCATGGCTCCCATTGAGGCCACATATAAGGGCTGGGCTGGAGTCATATCTAATTCCCTTTAAAAAGGGAGGCTCAGGGAAGACACAGGCCCCCAGCCTAGGGCCCCAGGGTCCCCTTGGTGTTTACGACATGGCCTCAGAACACAGGGTTTACAGGCCATGAGCAGCACGAGGCCTTGGCCACAGCCCCAGCCATCCCTGCGCTGACCCCCTCCCTGAGCCTACCAGGAAGCAGGACCTCTGTTCCAGGACTTTGAAGCAAAAGGTCGCTTCCTGGGCCAGGGTAACCATGGCAACACCACTCCCCTGGCAGCCCTGGACTAGCAAAGTGTTCTCATAAGCTTTGATTTTGTCTAAATTTATCATTTCGGGCTAAGGAAGGTCTTGTACTGGTTTTAGAGCCTTGGACAGAGCTCCTGACGATTGGGCCTTCCTGGTTCCGCTGCTAACCTGCTGGGGACTTCAGCAAAGCCTTCGCCTTCCGCCTTGGTGTTCTCAGATGTAAGAAAATGAAGTTGATTTCCACGGGAGGTGATCAAACGGTGCTGTAGAAACCTCAGCGATTCCACAGAGCATGACAGTACTTCTGCCAAGTAAAATTCTTCACATGGAGAAACCTACCCTCTTACTGATTTTATATGCCATGCATGTCAAAGCTCTGGGGAAGATGTTTTTGCTTGAGGAAAAAAAAAGATTTTTGCTGATTAAACAACCCTGAAAACTGCTGGATATGATGTCTGCGCATTTATTATGGAAATCTAAGCAGTGTGCATTGAAATCATAGTTGGTTCTCGTAGAATGGGACTAGGAGGATTCAAGGGAAGAAGATTCGTGTCCCATTTACCATCCCGTAAACCCTGGCTGTTGTTTTAATGATTTTTTTTTTTTTCTTGAGATGGAGTTTCACTGTTGTTACCCAGACTGGAGTGCAATGGTGCAATCTCGGCTCACCGCAACCTCCGCCTTCTGGGTTCAAGCAATCCTCCTGCCTTACCCTCCCGAGTAGCTGGGACTACAGGCGCATGCCACTGTGCCCAGCTAATTTTTGTATTTTTAGTACAGACGGGGTTTCACCATGTTGACCAGGATGGTCTCGATCTCTTGACCTTGTGATCCACCTGCCTCGGGCTCCCAAAGTGCTGGGATTATAGATGTGAGCCACCACGCCCAGACTGTTCTCATGATTCTTATGATCCTTTCTTGGCTGTGACAAGAGGGCCTGGCAGGGGAGCTGGCTGCCTCCTTCTCGGGGACTCCCTGCCTCAATGCCTAGAGCCAGGCTCAGCCCCGGTGAGGAGGGACAGCCCTCCATGGCTAGGTCAGGCAACTGAAAGTCAGGGGTCAGGTCCCCTACATCAGTGGTCCCAAATCTTTTTGGCACAAGAGAAGACAAACATTGGAAGACAATTTTCCCATGAACTAGAGACAGAGGGATGGTTTCAGGATGATTCAGCACATTACATTTATGGTGTACTTTATTTCTATCATTCTTACATTGTAATATATAATAAAATAATCACCTAACTCACCATAACGTAAAATCAGTGGGAGCCCTGAGTTTGTTGGCCTGCAGCTAGACCATCCCACCTTCGGGGAATGGGAGACAGTGACAGATCATCAGGCATTAGATTCTCATAAGGAGCACACGACCGAGATCTCTTGCATGAACAAGGGATTGCATGCAAAACAGGGCTGGCGCCTGGCACTCCTGTGAGAATCTAATGCTGCCGCTGATCTGAGAGGCAGTGAAGCTGGGGCAGTAGTGTAGTCAGTGGAGGGTGGCTATAAACACAGATGAAGCTTTGCTCGCCCACTGCTCATCTCCTGCTGCACGGCCCAGTTCCTAACAGACCATGGACCGGTGCTGATCAGTGGCCCAGGGGTTGAGGACCCCACCCTTGTTGGTATGCCAGGAAAGCCTCTTTCCTCCCTATGACTTGGCATCAATGTGAGAATTTCTACCATGTGAGATTTATTCCTTTGAATATATAATTGTGCTCTTTATATTCTTCTTGTAAACTTCCCCCTTTCTTCACCAGGGAGTACTGAGATGGTCAGCTGAGCTTCTTCCTGGCAGGAGGTCCCGGGAGGGAAGGGACAGATGCTAGGGAGGGTGGTGGGGAGTGGTGAGAATGGGGTGAAGTGGGTGAAATCTAGAGACAAGCACAGGAGCCTGCAGCCTCAGCACTGCCTCTGGGGGCTTGAGGCCTGCTGGAGAGACTGTTAAACCCTGGTGGAAACGTGTCTATTCTTCTTTTCAGACTCCCTGCATCCAATCCAGGCCAGTAGCTCGGGGTGTTGGGATTCTGGAACAGGAATCGGGCAAGAAGATGGAGGAGCTGTCCTGGCCCCAGAGTAAGGACACAGAAGTACCCACAGGTCTCACTCTTCCTCCCCTCTTCCCCCACCCTGGAACAGGGAAGTACATCCCATGTTGGCAATCCTGGCAGCCACAGGCAGCTAACGGGTGCCTGCTGTCCCAGCAAGCTGCCTGGGCTCGTGCCCAGTTAGGGACATGGCCTGTGTCACCCCAACTGTCCAGGTCACCCAAGTCAGGCAAATGAGCTTTAGGTACTTTAAAATCAGATTTGGATACACACCAAACCGGGATGCTGTCTCTGGAGAGAGGCTGGGATTGTGCACAGAGGTCAAAGGGGTGTTGAGCCTTATCTGCCATATTCCATTTTATTTTCAAGGATAATGCATTCATGGACTTCTTGTATAATTAAAAAACCACACACACACCCTTTGTCTTTTGTTGTTTTTTTAAGATCTGACTTTTAAAGCTTACAGTAAAAATAAGAATTATTTTATAAGAGACTCCAAACATGTTCTTTGGAGTTGGGAGGTGGGAAGGGACTTCCTGATTAGCGCTGTGCTCCTGATGTGCTGGCATCAGGTCTGGCTCCTTGTGCCTCAGTTTCCCCATCGGTACCAGAGGGAGACAGGCCTGATAATCTCCAAGGTTCTTTCAGCCCTGCCATCAAGTGACAAGAAGCTCCACTCTGTGAAGTCACAGGGAGCCTGTCTGCCTGGGTTCCTCGCAAGCCTTAGTTACAGTGGTGGGAGCTGATTCCAGATGCCAGCCCTCAGGGGCCTAAGAGTTGTCCCAGGGGGACCCTTGGGGGCTTTTTGGCCAAGTCAGCTAAGCTTCTTTCCTGGGGATAGTAACGCCAGGCCTCAGAAAGCTTCAACAGCCCAGCCTCTGTGCAGCCGGACCAAATGCGGGCTTGCAGCCTGTTAGTCCCTTTTCTTGGCACGCTTGAAAATGAACAACCATGATCTACGGTTGTCATTAAGACAGAGATGTTCTGGTTAGGGACACTGGCCCAGTGACCCTGCCCCTGGCACTAATCACTATGACAACAGCTCAATAGGGTCCCAAGGGCCTAAGAATCCTGCTTCCACTGAGGGCGAGGTTGGCTGAGGTCAGACAAAGAGGGATTAATAGAGCCCTGTTCTCATTAAACCACAAAGCGCCATTATTACAAGTTGCAACGGCCCTAGCAGGAGATGTATCATGTTTTCAAGTCACAGAGAATCCAGCAAACCAAAGAGAATGGTTCCAGCATCAGCCACAAAGTCACCATGGGGCCCGGAATCAGAGGAGGAGCAGAAAAATCTGAAATAACCCAAATGTTCAACAGACGGTTGTGTAACACACAGAACAGCCAGCCATAAAATAGCACCGACTGTGGACATCCAGATGGTGATGTTGATCGCATTTTCTACGTTAAAATCCTCATGACGTGGAAGCAAGTCCACTAAAACTGTAAATCAGCAACATTTTTGTTAAAAAAAATCATATACATATGTATAGACAGTGAAAACACAGAAGAAAAAGCTTTCAAAATGTGAGTAGCTATTTTTGAAAAGTGAGATTGTATGTAAGTCTTTTTCTTTGGGTTTATCTGTATTTTCATAATAAATATATATTTCTCTTGTATTTCAAAAATCTTTTATTCTTTTAAAAATTGGTGCAGAGAATTTGAGGGTGGGGTGGTCATTCTTTCCCTTTGGAGTGAGACTTCAGTTAATGAAACCTACAAGAGGGCACTGTTTTGGAGAGTTAAATTTTCTTTTTATTAATATTTTATTAATCTAAGTACTAATATTTAAATATTGGTTTTACATTAACCAGTGTATAAGAAAATTATTCTAAACAGTACTGCATCTTCTCATGCCTCCTTGCAACTAAGTACAATAAAAATAGTTTATCCTTAGTTTTATCATTGTGAAAGGTGCAGATTCTACCATATTGCATAATACGCAGATCTTTAGGGTGATTGGCTAAGCAGAAGGGTTTGTATTTGCACTAAGTGGCTTCAGATTATTCCCCTTACTGAGTATCTAGATTTGCTTTTTATAATTTTCAATTTCCTCCATACTAATAAACCATCAGTATCAATATTCTATCTATTCTATGTGTAGCAACTCTTTGCCATTTTAATTTGGTGCTTCTAATCAGCTGCCATCTTGGAAAAACACACATGCTTGTTAGAAATGTGAGTAAATTAAGAGAACGCAGATCTGACTGAGGGTTTGAGGGTTTGATACGGTTTGCTGTGACCGCCACCCAAATCTCAACTTGAATTGCAGTTCCCATACTTCCCACATGTTGTGGGTGGGACCCAGTGGGAGGCAATTGAATCATGGGGGCAGTTCTTTCCTGTACTGTTCTCGTGGTAGTAAGTCTCACGAGATCTGATGATTTTATAAATGGAAATTCTGCACAAGCTCACGTTTGCCTGCTGCCATGTAAGAAGTCCCTTTGCTCTTCTTTCGTCTTCCGCCATTACTGTGAGGCCTCCCCAGGCCTGTGGAATTAAACCTCTTTCCTTTATAAATTACCCAATCTCAGGTATGTCTTAATTAGCAGCGTGAGAACAGGTTTCAAAGTGAAGGCATTGGCAAGCAGGGGTCCAGGGTGGGGAAGTGTCCAAAACCAAGGGCTTCTGTGCTCAGTGGCTCACGCCTGTAATCCCAGTAATTTGGGAGGCTGAGGCGGGTGGATCATGAGGTCAGAAGATTGATACCAGCCTAGCTAACGCAATGAAACTCTGTCTCTACTAAAAATACAAAAAAAATTAGCCGGGCATGGTGGGAGGTGCCTGTAGCCCCGCTACTTGGGAGGCTGAGGCAGGAGAATCACTTCCCTGAGACAGGGAAGCAGAGGTTGCAGTGAGCTGAGCTTGCGCCACTGTGCTCCAGCCTGGGCGACAGAGTGAGACTCTGTTTCAAAATAAATAAATGAATAAATAAATAATAAATAAGCTATCTTGTAAGTTACGTTGAAGACTTTGGATTTTATCAGGGAAGCTGGGGGTTACTGAAGAATTTCAAGAAGGAAAGCAAGGTGTTCATATTTGTGATTTTTGAAATATTGCTACAGCAAGGACAATTGCATGTGTGGCAAAATTGTTAGCAGGAAGACAGACAGATGTGGCTTTGGAAATATAAAGAAAAGGAAATTGGACTGTGAGAAGGCAGGTTATCAGGGACGTCATCCACGTGCTTGAATTTTTGCTAGGAGAGAGCAAGACCTGCTTTCTTCCAACTGATAAATTCAAACACATTCTCCCTTTAGGAGGGGCCATGGGGGGAATTTATTTCTGGCCTCCATGCCAGGAAGAGCAATGCCTCCTCTAAACTATAGATGTGTTTTCATGTCATAGCCCTGCAAATCTTATATTAATAAATAACAGTATTTTCCTCTTTGCCTTGGTCACTAGGAAGCTCTGTGTATGTAATTCTATGCACTGACTTTACTTTCGGATTCATCTCAAGATGCATACTTTCATTTTGCTCAGAGTTCTTTATTTAAGGCATATTTTTGTCTTATTCGAATTTTCAAAAACGGTATCAAATTATTTTTGGAATAAAGTGGGGTATAACAAAGAAGTTTGAAAAAAACCAAAACATCAACAGCTCTTTAACAGATTCTCAAATCCTCATGACCGCTCATTTTGTATAGTTTATGAAATCTGATGACTGTTTTGATATGGTCATATTTGTCTATGTTAAATATTGTTTTTAAAACCTGGGAAGTTGATGACACCAAAAGCATAAGCCCATGAGGAAAAACTAGATAAACTGGAGTTCATCAAAATTTAAAACTTTTGTGCTTCAAAGGACACTATCAAGAAAGTGAAAAGACAGCCCACGGAATGGGAGAAAATATTCATAAATTATATACCTGATAAGGTTTATCAACAATACTTAAGAAGCTCTTAAAACTCAACAATAAAAAGACAACACAATAGAAAAAGGAGCAAAAGACCTAAATAGACATTTCTCCAAAAAAGATATACAAGTGGCTGATAAGCACCAAAACAGATGCTCAACATCATTAGCCATCAGAGTCAAATCAAAACCACCATGAGCTGTCACTTCACATTCATGAGGATGGCCACCATCAAAAACAGATATTAACAATCGTTAGGGAGGCCATGGAGAAATGGAATCTTCATACAATGCCGATGGGAATATCAAATGGTATAATTACTCTGGAAAACAGTCTGAAGTTCCCCACAAAGTTAAACATAGAATTACCATATAATCCAGTAACTCTACTCTTAGGTATATATCCAAGAGAAATAGCAACACAGGTTCACACCAAAACTTGCCCATGAATGTTCATAGCAACATTATTCATGATGGCCGAAAGGGGGAAAAAAGCCAAAAGCTTCCTAACTAATAAATGGATAAACAAAACACAGTAAAGCTATGCTACTAATTGTTATTCAGCCCTAGCGAGGAGTGACCAGGTCTACTGATACATGCTGCAACACGGATGAACCCTGAAAACAGCATGCTGGGTGAGAGTAGTCAGAAGTATCAAAATCCACATATTATATTATTCCATTTGTGTGAAATGTCCAGAATGGGCAAATAGTGAGAGAAAGTAGATTAGTTATTGCTTAAGGTGGGGGGATAGAGAGATTCGGGTTTGATAGCTAAGGAGTATAGGGTTTCTTTTAGAGGTGATGAAAATATAAAATTGATTGTGGTAGCATTTGCACAACTCTGTAAATATAGTAAAACTATTGAACTGTACACCTTAAGTGAGTGAATTATATGATACATGAATTATATCTCCATGAAGCTGTTCAAAAAAAAATAATGGAGCCGGGCGCAGTGGCTCACAGCCAGCACTTTAGGAGGCCGAGGTGGGGGGAGAATGAGGTCAAGAGATCAAGATCATTGTGGTCAACATGGTGAAGCTCTGTCTCTACTAAAAAATACAACAATTAGCTGGGCATGGTGGTGTGCGCCTGTAGTCCCAGCTACTCGGGAGACTGAGGCAGGAGAATTGCTTAAATCCCAGAGGCAGAGATAGCAGTGAACGGCACTCCAGCCTGGGGACAGAGTGAGACTCTGTCTCAAAAAATAAATAAAATAATGGAAGCCACCATGCTTGGCCTACTCAGTAGACTGTTGACGGGAACCCAGGTCCTATGTGGCCTTCCAGAGATGGGTTCTAACTCTGGCTCAGCCACTTTCCAGCTATGTAAGCTCCTCACCCAAATCACTTCATCTCCCTAAAATGGAGATAGCTATACATGATGCACAGTGGGTCCACACTGGGTCCCGAAGGTGCTGGAGCTCAGGGGAAACCCAGTCCCCTGCTTCCCAGAAGGCCCTCCAAGACCGCTGCCCTCAAAAAGTCCCCAATATCCCAAATGAGTGGGGCCTGCAGATTCCCTTTATGGAAATTAACTACAAGTGGTCTTGATGATGTTTAAATATTGAAATAACAATCAGACTTTAAGGTCTGAGAAACTCAGCGGAGGTTCTGGAAGGCAGGAGCTGCAGTGTAGCTTACGATCCCTCTTTTGCGCATTCCCCATGGAGCCTCGGTAATGGTCAAAGAGACTACACTTCAGTGGCCATACACCCCCCAGCTGCAGAATCAGTAACTTTCTGGTCTACACCCTGCATTCTGCTTCTCCCAGCCCCTGTAGAAGCGACCTGCTCTTAAAGCCTGCCGGGGACAGCCTTGGGTATGGAGTTCTCTGTCATGAGATTATAGAAAGTTGGCATCCGGCCCTCTCATGTTAGAGGCAGATCGACTCAGGCCCCGGGACGGTGGGCCTGGCACAGTGGCCTCTCAGCCCAATTCCCTGGAGGATTCTGGGAGCCCCTCCAGTGAACGGGGTTCTGCTCATGTTTCACGTGAGCACCTCCCTTAATTGCAACAACAAATGTGGAGCAGACATGGTTTACTCTTTTTACAGATGAGAGCGCAGAGACTAGCCCAAAGTGACTTAGAGAGTGAGCAAGCTGGGATTCACATCCAGCCTGTCTGACACCAAAGCCCATGTTCTTTCTTTTGGACCAGTTTCCCCAATTTCTTCATGTCAGAAGCCAAGCAGGTCACAAAGGAAGGGAGATGTTCCCATCCTCATCCCCCGGGAGAGACTATGCCGCAGAGTCTGGGTTTTCAGGATATTCTTGGGGCTCACCTGGTGGCGCTACCTTCCCTCCCTTCCCCACCCCGATTCATTTCTCTTCCTAGACGCCAGATTCTCTGCAGCCCAGTCTCCTTGAGGTTGAGGGCATCCATTTAAAGTCCCATGGGAGAAAAGGATAAAGAATCATGGATGTTCCCAGTTCCAGCCTGGAGTCTCTCCCTCAGGATGCCTTTGTTGCCAAGAACGACAAAACAGATGTCTTGGCAATAGTTTCAAATGTTTCCTGCCAAACCAGAGGAGAATTCATCTTCAGTTTAGATGCAGCCAAGAAAGACAAGTCCCGGCTCATATTATTCACAGGAAATGCACAAACACACACGAGCTTCCCAAGCCTGTAGAAGCGGCCTGCTCTTAAAGCCTGCCGGGGACAGCCTTGGGTATAGAGTTCTCTGTCATGAGATTATAGAAAGGGAGGCCCGTAGCTCCCCAGCTTCTCCTCACCAGGGTTTCAGCATCAACTACAGACACAGGTGGCACCTCCCACTTGCTTCACGCTTTCCATCCTCCACAGCGCTCAGGCTTCCCATGCTGCCCCCTGCTCCTCATCATCACTGACTCCATGGCCTCAGCCTGGCAGGCAAGGCCACCTTCCTTTTGTTTCCATCATGTCCTAGGTAAACTTTTTGTTTTTGGTAGTGGTGGTAGTAAAATACACATAAGGTAAAATTTACCAGTTTGGCTAGGCCCAGTGGCTCATGCCTAATGAATGGATAAGCCCTTTGGGAGGCGAGGTGCACGAATCATGAGGTCAGGAGTTCAAGAACAGCCTGGCCAACATGGTGAAACCCAGTCTCTACTAAAAATACAAAAAAATTAGCTGGGTGTGCTGGCGGGGGCCTATCATCCCAGCAATTTGGGAGGCTGAGGCAGGAGAATCACTTGAACCTGAGCGGCAGAGATTGCAATTGGCCGAGACTGTGCCACTGCACTCCAGCCCGGGTGACAGTGTG